GAACTCGCAGTGATCCTCCTGGTTCAGCCTCCTGAGTGCTGGGATTACAGGCGTGCACTACCACACCCGGAGCCATTGCCCTTTTATTTTTTTGTTTTATTTTATTTTGTTTTTCTTTTTTTTTTTCCGGTACCGGGAATCGAACTCACGACCTGGCGCTTTCCAGGCAGGTGCCGTGCCGCTGAGCTAAATCCATTGCCCTTTTAAAAGAAGAGGAAAAAAAAAAAAAAAAAAGTAAGTCCTAATCCTATAAAATGACCTATGCAGAATTTCCCTCAGTGAGAGAGCTTGCTTTCCTCTCGGCAGAGGAAGATCCCGCCTGCGCAGCCTTAACACTTGGCCCGGGGATGGCGGGTCGTGGTCAGCAGCAGCCCTCCCGCCAGGCGCCGAGCCCCTTTTGCAGAACTGATTCGTCCTTCGGAACCGACTTGACCCAGCCAGCAGTCCTGGCTTCAAGGCAGGGAAAACAGACCAAGCAATACACTGCCGAGGGCAGGAGGCGGACTTCACCGAACGAAGTGCACGCAGGAAAAAAAAAAAAAAAAAAAATTGCACGCAGAGCGAGCTTGAACAATACCCCACCCGCAGCAAAGTCGACTCAGTTCTTCCTGAGAAAAACGGCACCAGGGAGCCCTCGTTTCCACTTTTAGTGGACGCCTGTAATCCCAGCACTCAGGAGGCTGAACCGGATCACTGCGTTAAAAACGCACGTAGCGCGACTGTTTAAAATTGCCGAGTAATGTGGTGTAGTCATGAATGTGGGATTTCAAAAAAGTACTTCAATTTAAATTAGAGGTGGTTAATCGTTAAGCACGGGTTGCAAAATATTAAGACAATAAAGAAAGGCGGGGCCTGAAGACCCAGCGAGACAGCGACGTCCGCACAGGCCGGGAGCCCGGAGCCGGAAGAACAGTCGTCCTCCGCGCTTCCGGCGGCCGCTGGCACCCGCCCTACGCGGCTTCGATCTCAGCTCTGCGCATGCGCAGACCTCGCTTCGGCACCGAGACAGCAGCGCACTAGGCTGTTTAGCTAGAGACGAGCGAGGGGTGGGGTATGATCACGTGACCAGGATTGCGGCGTTTCTGGTCCAATCCGAGAATTGGAAGCCCGCCCTTGCAGAGCAGTTCGTGTTTCCCGACTTTCCGGAATCTTAATCTCGTTTTTTATTACTGGGTCCAACGATCTCGCTTGGTAGAACTTTTTGCCTTGTGTCCCGCTAGTAAAATTAGGCGCACACTATAAAACACCTTCAGTGGCATTTCTCTTGTTCTCTGCAAAACGCTCAACTCCTGTTACTATTGCTTGAGATTCCAAAATCGCTGGCGGACGTCGTTGTAAAAATAGCACCCCAGAAAAAGTTTTGTGTATCACAGTAAAACCTTAGAGATGTGTCCCCTAACATCACGGCAGATAATTGATTCCCAAAACACCGTACCCGCAGGGGGCACTTTTCCAGGGCATGCTCTGGAGACATCGCTCGTTTGCTGGAGCCTCCTATCCTGCCTGAAGTGAGGCTGTGAGCGAGGCTGGGTGACCCGTGCTTGGCATCCCCAGAGGAGTGCAAAGAAACTCGGCCTCAGGTCTGCTGAATGTTCGGGCTGGAGCGCACGAATGGAGAAGGGAGTGGGAGAAGAAAATGATTGCGCTCCGCAGCCCGAGTCCTTCCCGACCCGACCGCTACTGCCCACCTCGGTGGTTGTTCCCATCATACAATATATGGCTTGGGAAAGACCAAATTTGATAAAGACTCCTCGGCAGTTATCCTATTTAGGAAGATTTTACTGATCACCTACAAAAAAACAAAAAACCTCAACGCTGCAGAAATGGGTTTAACAGGGGCTGGGGATTTAGTTCAGCGGCACAGCGCCTACGTTTGTTCGACTCCTGGTACCCGGGGGAAAAAAAAAAAAGAAAGAAAGAAATGGGTTTAACAGCCTAGTGCGGCGGGGCGCAGGGGTGCAGACCTGTAACCCCACTTTTTTGGGAGACAGAGCAGGAAGATAGCAAGTTTGAGGCCAGTCTGGGTAACTTTCCTAGAGCTTGTCTCAAAATTTAAAATAATTTTAAAGCGGGCCTGGGGGTGTATCTCACCAGTAGAGACCTTACTTAGCATATGACCTTACTTACCTTAATTCAATCTCTAGTAGCGTAATAACTAACTCTTTAAAGAAGTCGAGTTGCTTCAACTGCATTACTCCTACAAATGCTTTACAGACCCCGCAGTTCTGTCACAGCTCTGCATAAATTAACTTCGACTACTATTCACATTTTACAAGTCAGTCTAGGATAAAATCCTTAAAGCAGAAAAACAATATGGCCTTGGTAAACTAATTCTGGGGCTATCAAGCAGTCACTACCACAGTGACAGCCGAGATCATGGCCTTCGCCTGCAAGATGGTGAAGTATAAGCACTGAATATTAGAATCAGAGAAAATAAGCCGAGTGTGTGCAGTGTCAAAGTTACTTCCTAAAGCTAGAACAGGTTTTCACCACTGTCTTATCTGTTGGTCAGTATCACTATTAACAAATAGGGTGTGATATGTCTTGTAAATAACCAACTCCAAATGATGCCTCCCGAGTGCTGGGATTGCAGGCTGGGACTACAGGCATGCCCGGCCTCATCAGGGTCTTACTACCCAAAAAAGTGACTGCACGTCTATGAAATACAAGTATTTTATGAACCCTGGGCTTTTACCCTGAGCAGCATACCTAGCTTTTTTTTAAGACCAGGTTACCCTAAGTCATTAAACTGCCAGGGTTGAACTTGCAATCCTCTAGCCTCAGCCTTTCTGGGTGCTGGAATTACAGGCCTGTGCCCCCATACCAGAATAGAGTCTACTTAAAGATTCTCCAGAGATTAACTTACTCCATACTTTCCATTTTGTGTATAAACCGTTCTCCTTCAAGTTAGGGCTGTTCAATAGACTTGGAACCCACGTAGCTGCCTGGGGCCAAGTACCCACGCCAGCGCTCAGATCTTAGGGCTGTGGGTACAGGACAAAGGCAAGCAGTAGGAGGATGCTATTTTAAGTAACAGCTGCAGAATATCACTGCATCCACTACTACAAAGAACAGAATAATTTTCAGCACCTGGAAGAATGTCTATCCCAGAGCCTTTCTTTAAAATACAGAAAAAGCAATACAAAAATGAATATAGAACAAGGACAAGTTTAAATAGCATAGGTTTCAATTTTTTTTTTTTTTTTTGTCTTTGAGACAGGGTCTCGCTATGCAGTTCAGGCTGGCCTTGAGCTCACTTTGTAGCCCAGGTGGGCCTCAAACTCTCAACAATCCTTCTGCCTCAGCCTCCCAAGTGCTGGGATTACAGGTGTGCGCCACAACACCTGGCTTCCCAGCCTATCTTGCTCTTCAACTTACTCATACTTTGCGTTTTGCATATAAGAGAAACCTATGGAGCTGGGCGTGGTGGCACACGCCGGTAAGGTAATCCCAGCACTCCGGAGAATGAGGCAGGAGGACTCTTTCAAGTTTGAGACCAGCCTGGGCTACAAAGTGAGTTCAAGGCCAGCCTGAACTGCAGAGTGAGAGCCTGTCTCAAAAAGAAGAAAAAAAAGCAAAATAAAAGATAACAGGAAACAGAGATAGAGCAACTGCAAAAAGGAAGGGGACCAAGAGATGGGATGGGGCAGGGTGACATAAAAAGAATTAAAGATGTGTTCTGTACATGCACCAGCTCTCCACAATGAATGTAATCACTATATATTGTAAGCATGTACTAATAAAAATTAATAAAATGAAAATTCTCTGCCCCCCCCAAAAGACAGACCAAGGAATAGACTACTTAAAAGTGTTTTGAATCACAATCTTTCACTGAATTGCCTCATTATCTAACAATTTTACCAAAAACTTTGTTTAACCAAGCTAACCAAAAGGGAAAAGGCATCCTTTCATTTTTTTAAGACATAAAACAAAAAAAAAATAAAATAAAAAAATAAAAAAGACATAAAACAAACAAAAATCATACTGATTTCAGTAAACAATACCTGTAGTGGAAAATAACAATATTTTCCATCTCTCAGAGTTCTATAATTATACTTTCAATGTTAAACTATAAAGCAACCATAAAAACTTAGCACTGTACTTGTGCCTTGATTTTACAAAATACAATCCAGAGGGTTTTTTGCTTGTTTTGTTCTTTTGAGACTGGGACTCTCTTTGCAGTTCAGGCTAGCTCTGAACTTACTATCTGGCCCAGACTGGCCTTGAACTCCGGGCAACTCTCCTGCCTCAGCCACCCTAGTGCTGAGATTATAGTCCTGTGCCACCATGCCCAGCTTTTTTTTTTTCTTCTTTTTTTTGGTTTTTTTTTTTGAGACAGGGTCCTGCTATGCAGTTCAGGCTGGCCTTGAGCTCACTTTGTAGCCCAAGCTGATCTCGAACTCCCAAAAATTCTCTTACCTCAGCCTCCCAAGTGCTGCGATTACAGGGATGCGCCACCACGCCAGGCTGCCCAGCTTATTTTTAAAACAGGGTCTCCTTGTGTAATTTTGGCTGGCTTTGAACTCACTATGTAGCCCAGGCTGGCCTCCAACTTGCAGTAGCCGCCTGCCTTGGTCTCCCTTTTTTTTTTTTTGCCTTGGCCTCCTAAATGTCGGGACTATAGGTGTGCACCACCATGCCTAGCTCAAAAAATACTTTTTGTTTTTGTTGTTGTTGGTCTTTTAGAAACAGAGTCTCACTGCGTAGTTCAGGCTTGACCTCACTTTGTAGCCCAGGCTGGCCTCAAACTCGCAGTGATCCTCCTGCTTCAGCCTCCCAAGTGCTGGGATTACAGGTGTGCACCACCACACCAGGCTAAAAAAAAATTTTAAAAATCACTTATCAAAGAAAATCAAAATAAGAGGATAAAACAATGCCCAAAGCTTCTTGTTTCAAAATAAACAAGAATTATGTATATTTGTATATTATCAAAAGATTCTCAAGATAAATATTATATAGTATAAATTACCAAAAAAGTAAATGTCATACAATGAAACTAATCATTATAACAAATCTTCAGTTTATTTGAAGCAATTCAGTTTCAAAAACTTTAAGTTACAGCAGTCACAGAAAAAACAGGGACTAGTCAGAAACAATAAAAGAATGATCAGGAGTACTGCATTTTTAAAATTTGTTTTTAACACTGTCATGGCTTTATTCAAAACACGGTTGCACAAAAGTATTAACTTCAAAGTTTTTAAGGAGAGGTTCTTGAGGAATTTAACACATTATATACATACTGCCATACAAAGAGCATTAAAATAGGACCCAAAACTTCTACAAAATATAAAACCCACCCTTACTTATTTGCATGAAAATACCACCCACAAAGCTACATAAGTCTTAACAATTATCTGGAGGCTCTAAGTGTTGTTGTCAAACCAAAGAACTCTAATTATGATTGCACAATAAAATGATTGGTAAGAAAGTCAATATATAGATTTAATTTTAAAAATAAGTATTTTGTACTTATTGATGGCATAGTATCAATGAGAATGCTGAGACATTCCAACGGTGAAAATAGGAGAAAAGTTTTAGTCTTCTGGAGATTCCAGGCCCTCGCTAAATTTATCCCCAGTGTTTTCAGCCAATTTGCAATGTTTTTAGTTTCTCCACAAATAACTTCATAATTTTTACTTTAAAACTCCAAGTCCTCCATTTTAAACTAAAAAAGCAGCAGCAATACCATACTGGTTTAAATGTGTCCCAGTAGAGAAGCATAACTTCAATTTGCTGACACTTTTTAAAAATTTACAAATATTCAAAGAGAAAAACTTTCAGATGCCAAGATGAAGAAAGCACAACTGCCTTGGACATGAAGCCGCCTTGACAAAAAGGGAGCAGGGCTTGTCTCCTCGTTCAGCTCTGCTTGGCAGCCAGATTCGACCCACACTTCTCTCAAGGCTGTTCTACTGTAATGAGCATCAGCTTGAAAATCCATCTTAAAGTCAATTTAGTTTCAAATATTTTTCCAACTACCTACCATATTCCAATAATGTTATAAATCTGGTAATGCGTTGAAACTATAGCAAGAATAATTAAAGTTCTACTCAGAAAAACTATAAATACTTCGCAGGGTTGGTGTCCAAGACCTTTGAAAAGCCAATTTAAATTTAATTATCAACAGGCAACTGTCCAGGCTTTTGAGAAACACTAACGCCCCCTGCAAAAGCCTCCCAGTCCCTTCCTTTCTCTGTCCTCCGAACAATGGTCTCCCGTGTCCTCAGCCGAAAAGCATTTACGTAAGCAGAACCTGGTGAATAAAACTGTATCAGCAACATTCAGACCTGAAAAAACTCTCAATTTCTTCCACTTCACTTATTAAAACCCAGCCAGGTCTGAAAGTGGCTGAGGTACGAAACTAAGGTTTTCTGGGGCTCTGCAAGGCGTCTGACCTTCTTCCGGGACAGCATGGACAAGCAGGGGAGGGGAGCACAGAAGCGACCCAGAAGGATGCTCCTGACAGAACAAATGGCCACAAGTGTCTGGGCGGAGTGCTCACTGCGTGTCTCTGGACTTAGTATGAGCAAACTTTCCTTCAAAAATAAAATCTTCTCCATCATCACAAAATCCATAAACTACATTAATCACTGAATAGCACCCCCAAAATCCACGAAATACATCACTGAGCAGGACCTGCACTGTCCTGCATCCACTTTCCAACTGGACTCTGTAACAAGCATCCAATACCCTTAGCCAAAGTCACTGCCTTCAAAGTAAAGATCTCTGAATCATTTCTAAAAAAATAATCAACTTATCCTTCAAGAGACTATGGTCATCTCATATTACAGCTGACTGTAATTTCAGTTAATTTATAAATAACTTTAAAACCTTATGAATGAAATGCACCAAACTACACCTGTGTAAGAGTGATCCTATTTAGTCACGGGCTACAAATGACTAAGACAGTGTGCTTGTATTAGAAAAATTAAGATTCTAAATAAATTGCTAGAGAATTTCACAATGGTGGGAGGGGTCAATGAAAATTTTTCTCTACATACAATCTGATCATTAACAGACTAGTAAATCTTAATTGGAATGATAAGGCAAAAATAGTAAAACCACACTTTTCCTATAAAAGTTACACGTTATCTTCTGCAGGGAACAGCTATCATACACGAGGAAACAAAGATGTGATCACCCTACTGCACACTCGGAGTGCAAGGGAGTGTGGTCCCCGAGCGATCTAGTCGTCTTCCTCCTCCCCATCATCATCAGCATCCCGTTTCCTCTTCTCCCCCCGGACACCTTCTTCTTCTAAGATTGGAAGAAAAAGTATACAAAGCTTAATTTTTTGGGGGGTGGGGGTAACCAGGAATCGAACTCAGGACCTCAAACTTGCCAGGCAGGTGCTGTGCCACTGAGCTATACCCCCGGCCCCAAAACTTAATTTTTTTTCTTATTTTTTATTTTTTTGTACTGGGACTCAAACTCAGGACCTTGTACTTGCCAGGCAGGCACTTATGCCACTGAGCTATACCCCCAGCCCCCAAAATTTTAATAAATGAGTACTTGTTAAGTTACAAAGTTATGAAAAAAAGTTCACGGCAGAAGAATATTCTAGATTATTTCCACTTAGATTTCTTCCAGCTTCAGTGTATTAAACAGACTTAACAGTCTTACAAATCCATAAACCATGACAGCTTGCTATGCACCCTTGTGGCCAAACCGTGGAAGTACAGATCAAGAAGGTTGACACCCATGGTAATAAATTTCTTTTAGTTTAATTTAGTTTAGTTTTTGAGACAGGGTCTAGCTATGTAGCACAAGCTGGCCTCCAGCTCATGGCGATTCCCCTGCCTCAGCCTCCCAAGTGCTGGAATTGCAGGTGTGCACCACCACACTCAGCAGAATTTAGTTAATTTTAAAAATTATTTTGAAAGACCTAGGTAAAAGAATAACAAAGAAATGAACCTACAAGGGCATTATCCAGAGTGTAAGTGTGCTTCTTCCCTTATGGATATTTGCCCTCTCTAAAATGACAAAGACTAAAAAACAATAAAAGAGCCAGGCGTGGTGACTCATGCCTGTAATCCCAGCACTCAGGAGGCTGAGGCAGGCGGATTGTTGGGAGTTCGAGATCAGCCTGGGCTACAAAGTGAGCTCAAGGCCAGCCTGAACTGCATAGCGAGACCCTGTCTCAAAAAGACCAAAAAAAAAAAAAAAAAAAAAAAAAACCCACGTGCTCAAGGTGCCAGCATCTCTTCACTTAAAACAAGTATGAACTGTGTGTGGTGGTACATGCCTACAATCCCAGCAGCAGTTGGGAGCTGAAGCAGAAATATCAACTTTGCACCTGCCCAGACTACACAGTGAGTTCAAGGCCAGCCTGGAATACATAATGAGACTCTGTCTCAATAGACCAAAAAAAGCAGGCCAGGCATGGTGATATACACCTATAATCCCAGCACTTGGGAGAGGCTGAGGCAAGAGGACTGCAGCAAGTGCAAGGCTAGCCTGAACTATATAGTGAGACACTGTCTCAAAAAAACAAAAACAAAACAAAAAAAACAGAAAAAATAAAATACAGGTTTTAAGCTATTTATTTTGTAAAGGAATTAATGAATGCCCCACGAGAATTACTCTTTAAACAACTTTTATAACTTTCACCAGGTGTGGTAGCACATGACAATAATCGTAGCACTAGACAGGCATGGTGGCACACGCCTGTAATCCCAGCACTCGGGGAGGATGAGGCAGGAGGATCATTGTGAGTTGGAGACCAGCCTGAGCTACAAAGTGCGCTCAAGGCCAGTCTGAACTCCATAGCAAGACCCTGTCTCAAAAAGACCAAAAAAAAAAAATCCTAACACTAGAGAGGCTCAGACAGGAGAATGGGATCGAGATCAAGGCCAGCCTGGCTAAAAAGTGAGTTCAAAGCCAGCATAAATTACAGAGTGAGACCCTGTCTCAAAATAATAACAAAAAAATTTATAACTTTCTAGGCCCTCTATGATTGAAAAACAAAAGCAAATAGCTGGGCATGATGGCCCACGCCTGTAATCTGGGAAGCTGAGGCAGGAGGATTACTGTGAGTTCGAGACCAGCCTGGGCTACAAGTAAGCTCAAGGTCAGCCTGAACTGCATAGCAAGACCCTGTCTCAAAAAGACAAAACAAAAAAAAATCAAAGAGATCAGTAATAATTTGCATTATAGACTCATTCCTTAGAGTCCATGAAAAGTGTGTACACTTAATTTTAAAATTTATCTATGGTTAATAACTCACCCTCTTCCTCCTCTTCTCCTTCTTCAACATAGTCATCATCATCTTCTTCATCCTTGAAATTCAAATATTCAGTTTAAGAATAATCAAACTGTGACATGGACTTTCCACTATTTTAGTACATCCCAAAAGGAGCACAGAAACTAGTTACTCTGTGTTCTGAGACTTATTCCAAACCACTGACTTACAGACGGATGAGGCACTACTACAGCACATGCTTGAAAAACTAAACCAGTCTAGGATCTTCCTGCCACAAAAGTTCACTGCTCCTCAGAAACACTTTAGCCCACTGGGTGCCACGAGGCATGCCTGTCAGCCTAGCTACTTGGGAGGTTGAGGCAAGAAGAGTGCAAGTGCAAGGCCACCTGGGCAACCTGACAAGACCCTCCCCCTCCTTTTTCTGTGTGACTGAGAACTGAACCCAAGGCCTTCGGTTTAGGCTACAATCTTGGCAGTTTTTAATTTTTTTAAATTTTGAGACAAAGTCTCACCAAGCTGCTAAATTGCCCAGGCTCGAGTTGAACTTAGATTTTCCTATCTCACCCTACCAGACTGCTGGCATTACAGGAGTGCACCACTATGATTGGTGGACACTGTCTTAAAACTTTTTAACAAGAGCTGAAGGTAATGAGGATATAGTTCAGTGGTAAAATGTCTCTGGATCCTGGGTTCAATCCCCAGTACCTGCAAAAAACAAAATACAAAAATAATCTCTAAGCCGGGCATGGTGGCACATGCCTGTAATTGCAGCACTCAGGAGGCTGAGGCAGGAGGATTGTCGTGAGTTCGAGACCAGTCTGGGCTACAAAGTGAGCTCAAGGCCAGTCTGAAATGCATAGCAAGACCCTGTCTCAAAAAGACCAAAAACAAAAATCTCTAAATGCCAACAACCATTGTTCAGGAACACTTGGAGAATTCTCCCTTTTCCACAATATCTACACTTCATCTGGTTTGTTTTTGTTTTGTTTCATTTTTTGTGACAAGGTCTCACTCTGTAGTTCAGGCTAGTTTTAAACTATGTAGCCCAGCTAGCCTCAAACTCAACAATCCTCCTGCCTCAGCCTCCTGAGTACTGGGACTACAGAAGTGTGCCACCACGCCCAGCACCTACACTTCATTTGTGTCTAGAAATATTAAACACAACCCACTTTTCCAGCATTTGGCTAGAAACCCCAAGAAACTAAAACACATGATTCTTTTATCAGAAACTTTTTTTTTTTTTTTGTCTTTTTGAGACAGGGTCTCACTATGCAGTTCAGGCTGTCCTCGAACTCTCACAATCCTCCTGCCTCTGCCTCCCGAGTGCTGGGATTACAGGCTCAGAAATCATGCTTATCAGCCAAATGAAACATTATTAAAGTGTATCATATCAATACAGGGTACCAGTCAGGTGCATGAAGAGAAGAAATAAATAAGATAGCAAGTTACATTTAAAAAAAATCAGAAAAACCCGCTTCTTTAAACTGAAGAAAAAGAAACAAAAGCAAGAGGAATAAAGGGGAAAAGGGATAGAAAAGAGGAAAGAAGGGAAAGGAAGAGGAGACATGTGCGCACAATGCATGCTAGTGAGGACTGAAACGAGGGCACCATGTATGCAGGTTCTGTGCCAATGAGCAAAAGCCAGGCCTCTGCATTTTTCATTTTTAAGAAGGGATTCACTGCTGTCTAGGCAAGTCTCACACTTGTGATCTTCCTGCCTCAGCCTCCTGAGTAGCTGGCATTATGGGCAAGTACCACCACACATGACTCAGGAAGAGATACACTTTTTAAAAAAAAATTTTTTTAAAGAGAAAAAAACAAAACAAAATTTCAAAACAAGGTAATATGAGGGTAGGACTGGAGATTTAGCTCAGCGGCACAGCGCCTGCCTGGCAAGCACCAGGTCGTGAGTTCGATTCCCGGTACCGGAAAAAAAAGGTAATATGAGGGTAACAATGGTTAATACCTTGCATATTGTTATCTTTAAATTAGTTACTCAGAGTATAAGGTATAGGCATTTAGTTATCCAACATTAGCCCAAACCTTTCTTTTCAATGAAATAAGAGAAATTAGTAGTATAACTGTCTTATCATATACATAAATATATATATACATATATATTTTTTTTTCCTTCTTCTTCCTTAGGAAGAGATATTTGGTCTGCAGCAGGATGTGCTGACAGTTGGGGAGAGGACACTAACCGGTTGTGGGGTCCCAATGCGATGGGAGGCTGGAGAGAAAACGCTACAAAAAATGGCTTTCGCCCTAGATGCCTCACTTGATTTTTGACAACCCTTAGGCTGTAACTACTTGTTAGATCCTTCTTGCATATCTCTGTCTTCCTGAGAAACCAATTTGAAGATATCACCATGTATTACAGCAGCCATTGATATTTTCCTACTAATCTATCCATAACTCTGCAATATCTGTATTGTTCCTATCCTATTTCGTAAATGGATGCATGTCTTTATTATGTGTTTCCTACAACAACAACAAAAAAGAAAATAAAAAAAAAAGGAAGAGATATTTGAAAGGCCAGATATGGCGGCACACACCTATGATCCCAGCACTCGGGAGGCTGAGGCAGGAGGACTGCTGCAAGTTTGAGACCAGCTTGGGCTACAAAGTGAGTTCAAGGCCAGCCTATACTGCATAATGAAACCCTGTCTCAAAAAGACCAAAAAAAAAGGGGGGGGGTACATTAAAAGAGGATACTTATCTTTTAAAAAAACTTGAGCTAGGGGCTGAGGATATAGCTCAGTGGCATAAGCACCTGCCTGGCAAGCACAAGGTCCTGAGTTCGATCCCTGGTACTGGAAAAAAACAAACTTGAGATACTAATCACATTTACTCCTTGATAATAGGGCTGGGGATATAGCTCTGTGACACAAGTGCCTGCCTGGCAAGTGCAAGGTCCTGAGTTCAATTTCCAGTAAATCCCCCCAAAATTGATGCATTAACTTGATAATTTAGAAAAGCCCAAGTCTAAAAAGCTGATTTAGTTCTCCTAATTTTGTTTAAAACAAAATATGATTTGATTGGTTTATGATTTTCAGTCTTTTTAAAAATCATCTTCTAGATAAAATCTCTCAATAAAAACAGCTTTTGCCAGAAATATGGTCTCACTAGAGACCAAATGTTCCCTCATTTGGTATGAGTAGTACAAAGGGCACCATAATTCCCAATTTTCCTAAAGCCCTCAACTCCATTTTTAATAATTTATATTACACATCCATGAAGTTATTTTTCACTTGTTGTACTGGGAATTGAAGCCAGTTACCAAGCTCTATCACTGAGCTACATCCCAATCTTTTTTCACTTTATTTTGAGACTGAGTCTCACTAAGTTGCCCAGGCTGACCTTGAGCTTGTAGTCCTCCTGCTTCAGCCTCCCAAGTAGCTGGGATTATAAACATGTGCTGCCATGCCTAGCCAGTGTCCCTCTTTAGACATATTCTTTTCCCTTTGAAGAGCAGTTGAACTATGAATAAAAAGACCCAGGAAAACAGCTAACCAAAAATGCTATTTTCTTCTAATTTCTTTTTAAAACTCAGCAGTCTCTGAAGCTTCCCCCGGCACTTAGCTTCTAGAAACAAGACTTCATTTGAAACATCCAAATTATCTCATCATGAATGAAATCTTTCTGATCTCTGTTATTCCTACACTGACTAAATGTTGTACATATTAGCACAGAGATTTTTCCTCTACACTTGGTATGCTCCTTCTTGGTTCATACTTCCCAGTACTCAACAGAATGATAAATCTAAACATTTGCAGTTAGTTCTGTTCTTCACTGTTCTACAGTTCCTAAGTCACTAAGGCCCCAAATAAGTATAAGTCCTTATTTTTCCTCATTAACTTATATTGAAATAGTATGGGGAAACAATATCGCTGATCAGATATCTACCTAACCAGTGTAAAAGCAATTAGGAGAATAAATAATACTAAAAATATGTAGCTTACCTGAGAAGTTGAGGGTTTTTTGTGTTTGTTATTTTTTTTGGGCAATGCTCAGGATGAATTCGGGGCCTCCTACATACTAGATGAAGACTCTACCACCAAGCTACAACACAGCCCTAAGAGATGTATGTATGTATGTATCCATTTAGTCTTTGGTTTGAGACAGGGTCTAGCTATGCAGTTCAGGCTGGCCTTGAGCTCACTTTGTAGCCCAGGCTGGTCTCGAACTTGCAATGATCCTTTTGCCTTAGCCTCCAGAGTGCACCACTTAATAATAAGTTTTATTAAGGCTAGGGTGGCACGTGCCGGTAACCCCAGCACTTGAGAAGCTGAGGCAGGAAAATCACCATAAGTTCAAGGCCATAATGAGTTCAAGGCCAGCCAGAAGTGCACGGCCAGACCCTCTCTCAAAAAAAAAAAAGCTGTCAGGTGTGGTGGCGCACACCTGTAATCCCAGCACTTGGGAGGCTGAGGCAGGAGGATCGGGAGGCTGAGGCAGGAAGATCGTTGTGAATTTGAGACCACCCTGGGCTACACAGTGAGATCAAGGCTGGCCTGAACTGCATACCAAGACCCTGTCTCAAAAAAAAAAAAAAAAAAAGACCAAAAAAAAAATGTTATCTTAAATTACGAATTATGGAAATAAACCTCAATTTAACATTAGGCGAAAGTAACTTTTCTAAACTCACGGGGGCCAAAGATCACTTAGTTTTTGTACAGTCAGTGCGTGAGGCTTTAATACAAAGATTAATGCCCCTCCCCCAGGAGCTCACTGCCCCAGGGAAAGTGGTCATAAAAGCTTTTATAACAGTGTCTACAGCAATGGAAACCTGGGTTTAAAGGTAACAGAGGAAGGAGTGACTGCTTAAGAGAGATTACAGAAAGCTTCAATCATGAAGTTAACTCCAAAGCTGAGGGGCTAGGGATTTAGCTCAGCGGCACAGCGCCTGCCTGGCAAGCGCAAGGTCATGAGTTCAATTCCCGGTACCAGAAAACAAACAAACAAACAAAAAAAAACAGAGCTGAGTTGAAGAGTGAGTTCACAAGGGCTGGGGATTTAGCTCAGAGGCACAGCACCTGCCTGGCAAGCGCAAGGTTGTGAGTTCGATTCCTGGTACCGGAAGAAAAACAAAAAAACAAACAAACAAAAAAAAGAGTTCACAAGACATGGTTTGGATGGTATTTGCACAAGTATATAATGTAAAATGTGATGAAGCCATATATAAGTTAACACACTTTACATGCTTCACTATATTTATGCTCACCTCAACACAAACAAAAATAAAGTTCATCAAGAAGCATGAGTGGTCATTTCAGACAGGGTGAACAGCATACACACAGAGAAAAAGTCAAGCAATTGCCTGGGGTGATCATTTAACTTGGTATAAAGGGAGATGTGGCTATGGAAGGAAGCAGGGGCTAAACAGAAAAAGTGAAGGGCGCTGTGTGCTCCGACAGCTGGACTGATCATTGGAGGGTTTTCGGGCAGCTGGCCTGAGGCGGCATCTGTATTAGACTACAAGGTGGACCATGGCGGGGACTGCTACAAGGGGATTCTGTATGCAGAGACCATTTAAAAAGCTACTGCAAGAGTATAAAGCAGGAGATAAGTGGAGGGAAGAAATCGTTTTCCTGAGTGCCTACAATGTGCCGAGGACTAGACATTTTAAATATATTAACTTGTTAAATCCTTAAAGCAGGAGGTAGGTGTGGTGGTGCACACCTTCATCCCAGCATCGAGGCAGCAAAGCAAAAGGAGTGTTAAGTGTGAGGCCAGCATGGGATTCACAGTGAGAGCAGGGCCAGCGTGTACTACACAGCAAGACTCCACCCCAAAGAAACACTCAAAGAAACACTAAATCCTTAGACAATCCAGTGAAGTTGGTGTAATTGCTCCTTTACAAGAAAAGGATGCTCAGAAACCTTTATAAAAGATTTCCATCACACCACACCACTGAGGACAGAGTGGACTGGGAAAATAACAGAGAGGCACAGTCAATGGGCATCCACGATTACTTGGCCGTAACACAGAGTAGGAGACACTGGGAAATACAAGAAAACAGACCCATGCAGATTCACAAGTCAGGAAGCAACTCTCAGGTTTCCACACAACTCACTTTTATAGACTTTAACCCTACGCCTAAGTAATTTTCAGTGCAAATACAAAGCATCGATTTACCTGAATTTCTTCTTTCATTAAGTATGAGAGGCCCACTTCTTCTCCCTCTCCCAATTCTGAGCCTGCTTCATCTTCCTCCTCATCCTCATCCTCATCTTCCTCCTCTTCCTCTTCACACCATTCGGGTAGACCAGCTTCATCTTCATCATCTTCATCTCCATCTTTTAAAATGTAAAACATGAGCAATGGCCAGGCACGGGCTTCTGGCTGGTACGCTGATCAAGTCTGTCCCTCCAGAATCTCTTCAAATTCTTACGCCAATGTGTGAAAACTACCTCAGGACGACCTTTCCTAAGACTCCAGTGTTATAAAAATGACATTTATTACTTAAGAAGTAGAGTATCTAATGCTGATATTTATCTTTCCAATGTACAAATTTTCATCAAACACCGCAGGTACTAAAGTTGAGTTTTACTTTTTGAACACTTCAAAGCTATCATTCCAAAGCTTTACAACACTGCTTACCCATTAAATTTTTGGGTTTTTTGGTTTTTTGTTTTTTGTTTTTGTTTTTTTGTCTTTTTGAGACAGGGTCTTACTATGCAGCTCAGGCTGGTCTTGAACTTGCAACGATCCTCCTGTCTCAGCCTCCCGAGTGCTGGGATTACAGGCGTGTGCCTCTATACTCGGCTGCCACCCACAAGTTTAAGGTGAGAAACTTTTCAAAGTCAAAGCACAGTCCCATGACTAACAAGAGCTCTTCTATCATCTGATCTGTGATGCTTCCACTTACCTAAAATGTGACTCAGTACCTACTTCTTCCATAGTTCTCAGTAAACCCGAACCTCACACCCACCCGCCTGCGCTCCCCACTCGGCTGCTGCCCACCCTCTCCCGCTCGCTCTTCCCCACCCCACCACTGCTTTTTTGCTCTACAGATGCGCCCTTCCCGAGTTCTTCCTACCAATGAGACAAACAATAGGTGGCCCTTTCTGTCTGGCTTCTCTCCCTCAGGATGTTTTCATGCTCCACTCGTGCAGCACGGACCAGTACTTCACACACCTTTATGTGGCCCAAACGTTACATTTCATGGATGTGCCACGTTTTTTTAACTCATTCATCAGTGGGCTGTTTTGAATAATACTATAATGAATGGTTCTTTCCATTAAAAAAAAGTACTATTTAGGAAGCTACTGCTATTACTGGGCAGTGTCCACACAAATTTAAATAGATGTACAGTTTCATGGAACATTTTATTACAAAAATCACTGAATTTCCTGAAACTATTAGAAATCTAACATAATTAGGCTAGAGCCATGGGTTTTATGTTTTTCTTGTCTTACTAGTATCTTGTGTGGTTTTTTTCTTTACAATTAAATCTCCAGGCCCAATCTAATTTGCATGGCTGAGTGGAGGCTAAAATTATGACACATTATTAAAAAAGTCACCTTCATCATCCTCCTCTTCTGAGTCTGGCGCTTCATTATCCTCCTGATCATACCCATCTAAGTACGTGATTTGCTGCAGCAGTTCAAAGATGCTTTCTCGGTAGTCTTCCAGGTTTGTGATCTCACAGTTAAACAAATCCAGACTTTTCAAATTTTTAAGATTTTGCTAGAAAAGTGAAAAAATTTATAGTCAAGATTTTAAATACCATATTCTTTCTAATTCAAAATCCAGAAAGTATTTGAGAATTTTTGGACTTCTAGAATTTTGTAACACAGGATTATTCTACCAAAATAACCAACTCTTTTAATTAGCCCCTGGCATGTAAATTCCACAGGAGTAGAAACTTTATTTTTTGCTTGTAGTACTAGGGTCAAACCCAGCGGCACTCTATAACCGAGCTGTATATCCGCACTTATATTTTTGAGACAGAGTCTGCTAAATTGCCCAGGTTAACCTTAAATCTGCAACTCTCCCACCTCAGACTCCTTAGTAACTGTGATTATAGGCATCTGCCATTTATTCACTGTATTTTTGGTTTTTAGGGTTTTTTTGTTTTTGTTCTTGAGACAGGGTCTCACTATGGAGTTCAGACTGTCTTTGAACTCATGGCGATCCTCCTGCCTCAGCCTCCCAAGTGCTGGGATTACAGGAATGTGCCACCACACCCAGCTGCTATTCCCAGTTTTATCTCCAATACCTTAGTGCCTCATTTCTAGTAGGTACTAACACATTTTTGTTGACTGAATGTGTGTGCATAAATAAGCAACAATATCATGCTCAATTTAAATGATACACAAGCTTATTTTAAACAGTTTCACCCTCCTCCCAATCTCTCTTTAAAACGCAGAACAAGCAGGGTGTGGTGGCGCACACTTGTAATCCCAGCACTCTGGAAGCTGAGGCTGGAGGATCTTTGGGAGTTCGAAACCAGCCTGGGCTACAAAGTGAGCTCAAGGCCAGCCTGAACTGACCCTGTCTCAAAACAGCAACAACAAAAAACAAACAAGCAAACAAAAAAAACAACCCAGAACAATTTTCAGTTTCATTTAATCGTCTTTTCCCTCCAGCACAGCAAAAGACAAGGGGTCCATAAAGAAATGATGAAAAATAGTCAAGAAGAATGGAAAGGCAACAAAAACCAAAATGGTGACAGCAGTCAACTCTGCAAGCTGAAGATGAAATGACTGACACAACTTCTCAATGGTGTTTGAAACTTCACCGGGGGCCAGGGGCAGCTCACTGGCAGAGCACCTGTCCAGCATGCATGCAGCTCTAGTACAATCCCCAGCAAGACAATGTCTTCAGGACAGGCGTGGTGGTGGTCACCTGTCATGTCTAACTCTGGGAGGCTCCCACAGGAGGTGGTGAGTCCAAGGCCAGACTGGGCAAGTCAGCACATTAGGGAGAACTATCACAAATTTCAAAAAGCAGCTGGGCATGGTGGCTCACACCTACAAACTCCAGCACTTGGGAGGCTGAGGCAAGAGGATCACCACAAGTTCAAGGCCAACCTGGGCTACACAGTAAGTTCAAGGATAGCCTGAACTACATAGCAAGACCTTGTCTCAAAACATAAAAACATGGAGCACGCCTGTAATCCTAGCACTTGGGAGGCTGAGGCAGGAGGATCATTGCAAGTTCGAGGCCAACCTGGGCTACAAAGTGAATTCAAAACCAGGCTGAAGCCAGGCGTGGTGGTGCACACCTGTAACCCAAGCACTCAGGAGGCTGGGGCAGGAGGATCGCTGTGAGTTTGAAACCAGCCTGGGCTGCAAAGTGAGTTCAAGACC